TTATAATTAAATAATAGAAAAATAAAATAAATAACTATGAAATGTATGAATTATTTTTATTAATGATGAAAATGGAAAGTCAATTTCAAAATCTACCTTGAAATTAAATGATGTCAGTGTCAAACAATAAAGTTTTTAATAATAGAAAATACAAAGAATCACAAAAATAAAAAAAATGGTAAGAGAAAATTTGGGGCACATATCTAATGTTTATATTTGTAAAAAATAAAATATTGGGTACATCTCTAATATTGTACATTCATTATATTGAATAAAAATAAGTTTTATACATAAGAAATAATTTTATCAGTGATAGAAATTTAATGCAAAATTTAATGTCAACCTAGAAATCAAACAATTTTTATTTTTAAATGGTGGGTTAGTGGTTTGAGTAAAATGATACCATAGACAAACAAAAATTAAGTGTGATAAGCAAAGAATATTTTATATAATGTAAATGAAATATATAATTTAAAGGGAAAATTATAGTCAAAGTCGGTTGTACATTTAAAATTAGGTTGCAGGTTTTTCCAAAAACCAACCAAAATTTGAAAACTGGCTCTACATTTCAAATTGAAAAAATCCCCGTAATGTCATCAGAGGCTTATGTGGTTGTTGCCAACATGAGACTTTTATTCCATGTTGGACACAACAGAAAACCTATTTCGAAAATAGGTTTTCAGTTTCTCTGCCACTCCCTCAGTCTCTCGATCTCCCTCCCTTCTCTCTCACTCTTACAGTCACCTCTTGATCTCCCCCTCCCTCTGTCTCTCCCACTCTCTTTGCTTCGATCTGTAGCCAAATCAAAACCTCTCTCTTTATTGTTCTCCCTCAATCGTTCTTATTCTCCCCCCTTACTCTCCCTCTCAATCAAAATCTCCTTTTTCCACAATCGCTATCATTCTCTAATTGGTCTAAATTTCATAGCCAAGAGTTTCTTGTGAATTTTATCAATTTGGTGTAATAATTTTTGAACCATACCAAGTTGGTCTCATGTTCTTTWATACGATTTGATTAATACCATATAAGTGTGTAAGAAAATAAGAAAATGAGAGGGGGAGAGTGGGAGAAATTGAGGGAGAACGATAGAAATTAAGGGATAAGGAGAAATCAATCGAAAAATAATGAGAAAGATTGAGGGAGAATGATTGGTAGAGAGAGAGAATGAGAAAAATTGATATAGAGAATGTAAATATAGAAACCAAAAACCATTTTTATTTATTTTCAAATCACATAGTCATTTAGTAAATAAAGATGACTGTGAGTGAAAGAGTGTGAGGGAGATTGAGAGAGAGAGAGAGAAACTAAAAACCTTTTTTTTTTTTTAATTTTCCAATCACCCAACATAGAGGGCAATTTCAATATAAGCTTTTTATTGTGTCCAATATGGATTACGAGTCCCATGTTGGCAATTGCCACATAACCCTCCGATAACGTGGTGAGGGTTTTTATAACTTGAAATGTAGAGCCGTTTGTTAAAGTTTTGTTGGTTTATGGACCAACTTGTAACCAAATTTTAAATGTATAGCCAGCTCCTACTATAATTTTCCCTAATTTAAAACTAATCCAAAAGCAATGCTATTTCTTATCTAGATGGTGAGTTAATGATCCAACTTTTCAAAAGAACACACGATGTCATAATTCAATAATAAATATTTAAGTTTATTTTTAATCATATTATTACTTTTTTTTTTAATTTTCAATTTCTATCTTAACTATGTTATATCTAAAATTCAAGTAATTAATATGATGAAAAATTTCTCACGTGCAATGCATGTGCTTAATTACTAGTATATCTATTAATAGGAAATGTGTGGTATATGTGTGTAGGAAATGGAATCTACTCGTGCGAGTAGATCCCACGTGAGAGCAACCCAGATCCATTGTAAGGGCAGTATTTCCCTTTAATTACTGCCATTATCAATTATAAAAAAAATTACTGCTATTATAAATACCAATAATTAATGATTACTACAGTAATTAATTAATGGAATTTAATAGTTACTGATTATTACATAATTCAATAAATATATCTATTTATTTTAATAATTACTGGTTATTATAGTAATTTAATAAATATACAATTAGTGATTATAATTAAGAATTACTATTATTATAAATATTGTTAATAACTAGATATTTACTTTAATTTTTCATTAAATTAAAATTATAAATATTGTTATTAAAAAATACTGTTAATAAATTTAGTGACCTAGTTTTAATAATTACTGATTATTACAGTAATTTAATAAATATATGTTTAGTGATTATAATTAATAATTATTGTTAGTAAATATATATTTACTTTAATTTTACTTAAAATTAAAATTATAAATACTATTAATAAATTTAGTAATTATTGTTGTATTAAAAAAATTAAAAATGTTATTAAAAGTATTGTTATTGATTATTTAATAAAATATTATGATTACTAACAATCGACAGTTTGACCGTCCGATTCAAACGGATGGCCCATTCTGACAACAAAAATTACAAGCAAAAAATGATGAACCTATTCTGGCCCTCGGTTTTTCGGTCAACGGTTCGAACGGATGGTTCGTTCTAACAACAAAAATTATAGGAAAAGAATTGAGTGTGTGAGGTCCTTAAGTAGTATCATACGTGTTATGTCATTCGAGTGTGTGATTCATACGATCCGAAAACAGAACTGATGTGGCCACCGGTTTTTGGGACGACGGTTCAACCGTTCAATTCAAACGGACGTCCCATTCTGACAACAAAAATTATAAGCAAAATATTACAGAACTGTTATGGCCACTAATTTTTGGATCAACGGTTCGACTGTCCAGTTCGAACGGACGACCTATTCTGACAACAAAAGTTACAAGCAAAAATTGAGTGTGTGAGGTCCATTAAGCAATATCATACGCGTTATGTCATTCGAGTGTGTGACTCATACGACTCAGAAATGGAACCGTTTTGGCCACCAGTTTTTTGGTTGACGATTCGACCATTTGGTTCAATCAAATGGCTCGTTCTGACAACAAAAATTAAAGAAAAAAGATAAAAAACAACCAAAAACATTGAATGGGTCAACAGGTTGACGGTTTGACCACTCGGGTCAATGGGTCGTTGACCAATTCAACGGTTTTTAGCCAGGGACCGGGATTGAGGTAAAATCGAACCAATTGCTTGGATGGTTGCCAATTAATAAATAAAATAATGGATGACCTGTTCTGACAACAAAAATTACAAGAAAAAAATTGAGTGTGTAAGGTCGATTAAGCAGTACCATACATGTTATGTCATTTGAGCGTGTGACTCATACGACTTGAAAACGGAGCCGTTCTGGCCATCGGTTTTCGGGTCGATGGTTCGATTGTTCGGTTCGAACGGATGGTCCATTTTGACAACAATAATTAAAAAAATAAAAAACAACAAAAAACCATTGAACGGGATGACGGTTCAATTGCTTGGGTCAATGAGTTGTTGACCGATTCAATAATTTTTGGCTAAGGACCGAGATTAGGATAAAATGGATCCGATTGCCTGGATGGTTCCCAATTAAAAAATAAAAAAAAAAACGGCCAAAAACCATTGAATGGGTTAATGGGTTGATGGTTCGACTGCTTGGGTCAATGGGTCATTGACCGATTCAACGGTTTTTGGCCAGGGACTGGGATTGGGGTAAAATGGAACCGGTTTCTTGAACGGTTCTCCGGCTGCAATGTCCATTCGTCCGGGTCAACGGTGGTTCGAAAACCATGGTTTTTATGCTTTTGGATTTTTACTATTCAAAGGTTTCTTCTATTGTGAGATTTATTCGAGCATGTGCGATATATTCCTTTTTTTTCATTTTCTGCTTTTGATTTTTTTTTGTGTTTGGTCTTCTTCTTTAGGATCCTCCAAAACGGTCTAGAGTTTACCATCATTTTATTTCTTATTGCATGTATGTTTAGCTCATTCTCAAAGCGGAACTTTGGACTTGATTTTCGGGTTTTTTTCCTTGGCTTCTCCAATTTGGTGGATTTACCACCAATTTTTTTATGTGTTTAAGGTAACTTTGGATTTATCTTTCAAGGTTTTGGAATCCCTTGCAATGTCCACCCTTCCCATGACTACGACTACAAAGTTATTTTGTCTAATTATTGACAGGTCGGAAAAATGACCCGAAAACAGAACCGTTTTGGCCACCGGTTTTCAGCCCAACGGTTCGACTGTCCAGTTTGAACGGATGGCCCATTCTGAAAACAAAAATTAAAAAAAAATTAATAATAAAAAAGGTGAAAAACCGTTGAATGGATCGACGAGTGGACGGTTAAATTGCTCGGGTCAATGGGTCATTGACTAATTCAATGATTTTTGGCCCGGGACCAGGTTTGGGGTAAAACGGAACCGGTTACCTGGATGGTTCCTGGGCCGAATGGTCCTACCGTCCAGGTCAAATAAGAGTTCTTGGTGTGAGACACAAGACAAATATAAAATAAAGTAAAACTCAGAACTATCACTGTATGATCGTGTTTTTTTATATGAGATGTTTTGCTTGAACAATATTTAAAAGGAAACCACCCCTTTACCTTTAATATATATAAAAGATATTTTATATTTATCAATTTCATTTTATCTATAAATTAAAATTAAGTGTAAATAACAAAGACCCCCTATAGTATGGGGTACGTAAGTGACAAATACACCCTGGAGTTTCATTTGCAACAACTATCCCCATCTGTTAGAAACTTAAGAGTTTGATAAATTAACTTCGAAAAGGATTCCAATTCAACTGTTAAATCCCCAAACCACGCTTATTTATTTGAAAGATTTATAATTCGATTAGTTTTTTAAATATAACATTTGAAGCTCTATTGTTGCTACAATCGATCTTTAATTTGCAGATTTTTGGTTAGATTAAATATTCAAATGAGATTGTAAAGGTTGCTTTTTGGTAGATATGAATTTATGGTTTTGTTTGGTTTTTCTTTATTTATTAGATTAAAAAGTAGATAATTTGTATATTTTAAGATGGAGAGAGACATTCATGTGAGTGAAATGAATAAACAATTGTACAATTTCTTTTTCTATGCCAAGGAAATGATTATAGAATCCCAGTTAAATGGCCTTTGGTTGTGGCAGTCGAGATTTTCACCCATGCTCACGCCGAGCAAGTCACAGTCTCTCTCATAGAATCCAATTCGGTGCCTAACAGTCTCAACCTCACCCTGCCCGCATTCAACTCCTCCATTGATGATGTTGGTGGTGACTCCATAGCCTGGGAGTCTGTTTGCAGCTGCGTCTGTAGAAGATGGCATCCACTGTCCCGTCATGACGTCGTGGCAAGACGGTTTTGGCGATTGAGGTGTCATCCAGAACCAGATTGCAGTTCTGAACGCCATTACTGGGTCTTTGGCAACCTTATCTGGGTCGGAAAGCAAGTCGTATTTCAAGGCATCCCCTGCTTGTCCGTAGTTGTAGTTGCTCTGTGTAATCCAGATCATGATCAACCAAGAGATCGAAATCAATTAAACTTTGATCAGTAGAATTGAAAAAGGGAAGAAGTAAGAAGAAAGTGATAATCAGATTAATTGGATGCTTACTAAGAAATCTGAATGGGTCCTCGGCCATAATACTGTTTACCAGAAACGCAGGGATAATCGTTACTTGGGACACAGTAATCTCCTCCTCCTATTTCCTCAATGAAGCAATATCCCCAAGCATATCGAGTATCGGGTGCATCATCCCATCCTCCAGTAGTCTCGTGAGAAGTTTGTCCAAAGAAGGCTGCAAGTTCTCTCTTACGCGTGTCCAAATCACCTGTGGTTCCGAAACCGTCAAAGGATTTGGCAGCTTTGAGGAATGCTTCGTATGTGTAAAAGCCGCCTTTGCACCCACTATGATCTCGATGTTTAAGCATTTCTTCGAATAGTTGTTCGGTGATGATGGAACTGACACCTGAGTCGGATCGGCCTTCTCCGTCTACCAAAGCCCTGGGCAGGGCGAAGGTGAACAACAATGAGAGCACAAACGAGGATATCCACAAACACAACCTCATCATTCTTCTTCTTCTGTTTCTTTTTCTTACTTACCAGATTTCCACGTAGAACTTGTATATTTATAGGCAAAATTGCATTGGACCCTTCTGGAGCTGATGATGTATATTTTGCTTCAGTGACCAGTCATGAGTCATGACATGGGATGGGGCAGGGCCTTTGATCCTTTGATTTGATATATACGGTGCTCAAAAATAGATTTCTGGAGAGCCGTTCATGTCAAATCCGGCCAACCCACTATCAAACCGGGAAAATACATCACTGGGTCACAGGTCTAAGTACTTATGCTCCGTATCTGTCTACACATTTTCTGAAAATTACAAGGTTCATTGCCTAGCTCAATACTCAAATAGTGCAATGGTTTTAGAAAACTCGAACCACACTCAACCATCTTGCATTGCGCCTAGGGGTGTCAATGGATCGGTTTTGGGTTGGACTTCATCCAAACCAAAATCCATTTGGACGGATTGGATGAACCAATAAGACATTGAATTTGGATAGATTGGATGGACCAATATGATATATTAGATTGGACCTGGTCCATCCATAATAAATTTATATTGGATTGAGCCAATATCTGGTCCATTGATAGAAGATAAAAACATAGGTGTCAATGGACCAGGTTTGAATTGAAACCAATTTAAATTAACAGGAATTTGGATAGATTGAACAGTCTCTAAACCGGTCCAAAATGGTCCAAATATTCATTAGATTGGATTAAACCAAGTCCATTTATAAGGGATTCACATCGGACTGGACCGAATTGGATCAAATCCAGTCCAATTGACACCCCTAATTGCGCCGAACCTATCCCAACCACAACATTTGTGGCGCTTTCTTTAACTTGTAGCATCACTCATAAATGTGAATAATTAATTGGTAAAAGACAAAGCGCATGTTTGCTTTTCACCAAATATAAAAAAGGGACAGGTTTGATATGAAAAAAGACAAGAGAAGTGTTGCGAAAAACCAGAGGCTTCGATGCAACTTAAATAAGATTAATAATGGATAAACAAAGAATCATCTAGATTGAACGACTTTCTCCATCTATTGTATTTTCCACCATTCAAATAATTATATTAATGCTCTTTTTGTTTTAGATAAATTATTTGGATAAGTGAATTAACCTATGTTCTTTTATTTTTTAAATAAATAAGATAATAGTTATTTTAGTCAAAAAAAATTCATTATTAAAAGGGGCATTTCTGTTCCAATAAAGCATTGTCAATTTTCTCATCAGGTTGTAAAGTTATTTACCCACTTAAAATATGGGCCCAAGAAAATAAAATTTCTTTGATCCCCATAAAAATCTAAAAAAAGAATATGGCTTATTGGTCAATGGGATTGTGAATCCCATTATCCAAAAAAAGAATGCCCCCTAAATTATTCAATTTCTTGATCTAATTAGATTGAATTTTAGTTTAAATAATATCTTGGTGGAACCTGATGAGGGCAGATTTGGCCCTCCAGTGAAATTGTGACACGTGGCACCTCGTGACAACTAGGCAAGCCCCCAGGCAACAACTTACCAAGTTGGTCCCC